ACAAGCTAGGAACTATCCGCCAAGAGATGACGCAGCTCAAGGTTGAGCTTTATGCGAGATTTGGGAGGACTATCAATCTTGAAACATGATGTCAGTTGCCGGCGCATGTCCACGCTCACCTCAACACCATGGCCAAAGAATGTGAGATTGCGCCATAAGGTTCCGGTGCACAGTACACAGCGACTTTGCCGGCCCGTCCTGCCTTCTCGCCACGCATATCTACGCATGTCTCGTCACCGTGACATATGCACCCAGCTTCGGGTGCAGAAAGGCTTTGTAGGTCAAGCTGCTTCGGCCCCGAGCCTCCGGTCTGCCGCCGCGTCTTCTTGGACCAGGTAGTTGGGACGAAGATGCAGGGGCCTAGGGGAAACTCGTGGGTCGGAACCGAGTTTAACCTGGACATGGGCTGACGCGACGCGCCAGAGAGCATCTTGAGGGTATTGGTGGGTTTACCGTGGACATCCTTGACTACCACGAGCTCTCAACAACATGCCGGAATTACAGTCGCAAGCACAGCGTTCGTTCGGAAGTGGCGAATAGACTTGGGTCGCGCAACCGATTTTCACCGAAGTCAGAGGGTTGATGGAATGGAAAACAAACATTCTTCGATCATCTCACCCGTTACTTTGACCATCCCACCCTGCAACGGTACCTCTGCGTTGCCACGGGCCGGTTCCCTTGCATGAGCATATCCGCTTTCGTCGACCACATCGACCATGTAAAGGAGTTGTCACAGCTACCCCATCATTTACACGGCATCAACATCACCCAATGGACTCGGCGTGGGTTCATCACGAGAGCACAGATTGGGCGAGGTATCCGAACTTCGGCGTTCACATGCTCATACCTTTGGACCAGTCAGTTTCGAGCCGTATAGTAAGGATGGACAGACGAGAACACGGCCTGCACAAGAGCATGGGCATACAAGGCCACCTCTATCCCTACAGGATCGATCAAGCGTTCTACTAATCTTCGATAACTTCCAAAAGCTCAAGAGTGTGCAGCGAATGCGGCCTGCATGGACTGTATAGGCTTCATGCGAGTCGCCTGCGGAGCATTTTTAGTTTCTGCGAGGCAAGATGCCTCCCCCTGTAAATCTCCCGGCTCCGGACTCTTCCCTAACGCCTGCCTATCCATGTCGCTCTGTCTCGTCGAGGCAAGAACCTGAGTCCACTTCCTCCCGACGCTGTTTGGATATGGGCCGGAAAGGATACTGCCTCACCAGCCGATCTTCTCCGGACGAGTTCGCTCGCCACCACTGTACACCCGGCCCCATAACCAACTGCGCGATACAGTAGCCCGTTGCTGCACAAGATGGAACGTCTCGTTTCAACAATGATCTGGTGCCCGAGTACCCGCCGCCTTATTTCTCTAGCCAGAACCCCCCCTGATTTTGTCTAGTCTTTCTGCTGTTCCCGATGTGCTTTCTCTCAACCTGGGTAGTTTGTACCACTTATTGGAAGGGCTACTGTGGCTGGCAGCTGTGTCTACACCCCGCCTTGCCGTCATTACCATCTTGGCCGACCATGGAGGACGATGATCATGGCGGGGAGCAGCAGCCTCGGCGATTCCCCCTCGTCCCAGACCAGCAGCCTGCTTCAGTCGACAATCCTGAGGGCCATCCTGAGAACGAAGTAACCTTGAGCCAGCCGGCCGAAACAGAAGATCGCACCTTGGTTGAGGCTTCGTTCAACAGTATGGATGATTCCCGACCAGGAACACCATTGGAAACAGAGAAAGAGGTTATACCGATAACTGAAGCAACTCAGATTCGACATGGTCGTAAGTCCTGTCCCACATCTCCATCGAAAAAACACTAACAGTTTCGCAGGCTGTGCGAACTGCCTTAGCAAGTTGGTGTTTGAGATCGACAAAATGGACATTGTCGAGAACAGAATTGACAAGATCGTTGACGAGAAGGATCTAGCGACCAAGGTGACCCATATATCCATTGCACCTTTGCCACCTAAAGACCCCATCATTTTTGAGGACGATGACGAGGATGGCGAGGATAGCGAGGACGAGATCATGGCATGGGAGGACAATGACTATAAAAACCCATACAACTGGTCCAGGTTGAAGAAGAACCGGATTGCCCTCACAACCATGATGCTCATCGTCAACTCTACCATGGGGAGCGCCCTGCCGAGCAACGCCCTCCCGTTCATAGCTGCTGAGTGGCAGGTGAAGTCAGAGCAGCAAATGGTGCTGCCAATATCTGTCTACCTCATTGGTGAGTCCGAACCTCGTGGTGCTACACATCATATAAGCATAATCTGACACACTTTTAGGTTACATCATGGGTGAGCAGCAGTGGTTGCCCTCTCCTCTCTAATATCCCCCATCAACTGATTCCACGACAGGTCCACTGCTATGGGCTCCAATGAGCGAGCATTTTGGTCGGAGGCGGTTGACCATCGGGACATTTTCCTTCTTCACCATCTTTACCCTGGCATGCGCTGTCTCGCCGACCTGGCCTACCTTCCTTGTCTTCCGATTGCTCACGGGCGTTTTTGCCAGCGCACCAATTGCGCTTGTCCCTGGGATCATTGCCGATACTCAAAATGACCCCAGGAGCAGAGGGCGGAAGATGGGCCTCTTCTTTGCTGTGAGAACCTAGACATGGCCCCGAAACAACCCCATCTGCTAACCGCCCCCAGACGACATTGATGGGCCCTCTTCTCGCACCTATGATATCCGGCTACTGCTCCACCACCATTGGCTGGCGGTGGTCTTTCTGGATCGGCCTGATATACGCCGGCGTGACCATGGTTCCAGTCTGCTTCCTCCCCGAGACCTTTGGGCCCGTCCTGCTCCTGCGCCGCGCCCGCGCCATCCGCAAGGATAACCCCACCGCCCGCATCATCGCCCCCCACGAGATGGAGAAGCGAACCCTCAAAGAACTCACAACCGTCGTCCTCGCCCGTCCCATCCGCATGATCCTCTTCGAGCCCATCGTCAACACGAGTTGCGCCTACCTAGCGCTCTGCTACGCCATCTTCTACATGTCCTTTGAGGCATACCCCCTCATCTTCCAGGACTTCTACGGCCTCTCTCCGGGCCAGTGCGGCTTGACCTACCTGGCCATCGGCATCGGCTGCCTGCTCTCTCTCCCCATCTTCTTCGCCTGGGACAACCACCTGCTCCGCGCGCAGGCCCGCGGCACCCCCTGGACCCAGCGCGAGGAGTACCGCCGGCTCCCGCTCGCCTGCCTCGGCGGTCCGCTCTTCGCTCTCTCCCTCTTCTGGCTCGGCTGGACCGCGCGCGCCCCCGTTCCCTTTATCGTCCCTGTTCTTGCCGGCATCCCCTTTGGCATCGGTTTCATGTGTATCTTTCAAGCTCTCTTGTACCTGCCCCCCCCCCCCCCCCAGCAATCCCCTCTCCCACACACAAACTAACGCTGGTAGGAACTACCTAACCGACGCCTACGAAATCTTCGCCGCCTCCGCCAACGCCGCCGCCTCTTTCTCCCGCTCGCTCCTCGCCACCCTCCTTCCCCTGGCCACTGCCCCGCTCTTTCGCCGCCTCGGCATCGCCGGCGCTTGCTCCCTCCTCGCGGGGCTCGCCGTGCTCATGTGCGCCGTGCCATTTGTCCTTGTCTGGCAGGGGAGGCGGATTCGCGCGTCGTCGGGGTTCTGCACGGCGCTGAGGGAGAGGAAGGAGGAGATGGCGAGGCGGGTGGAGGCGCAGCGGCGGAGGAGGTCGGTTAGGGCGTCGAAGGCGGGGACGGTTAAGGCCACGGGGGCGGGGGCGGGGGGGCCGCCAAGGTTGCCTGCGTTGGGGTTGGAGGGGGAGAAGGGGATTGGTATGGGGTTGGTGGGAGTGGGGGGGCAACAAGTGGGGGATGAGGCGGGCTCGTGGTCGGGGTTGGGGACGCCGATGACAAAGGAGGTGGCCGTTGGAGGGGAGAAGGTGAGCGGGGAAGGGAGCGAGGGGGAGTAGGAGGCGGTTTTGGTGGAGGAGGAGAAAGTTGTTGTGGTGGAAGAGGAGGAGGAGGTGACGTCGGGAGGAAATACGTCGGTGGAGGATGTATAACTTTTCTTACCCTTGATGGGTGTGAGTGGAGGAACGTACAGTCATGATCGAAGCCTCACGCTCCCACTCCCCACACCACATCCGTCCAACATTTTATATCTTTTGTTGTCGGCCTTTCTTCTCTCATGCTATATTAGCTTCTCCTTTTACTCTTTCTTCGCTTGGCCAGTACCTACTCTTATGAGCTTCAAACCTACCCTCGTTTACTATGCCATGTTGAGGAACCAGACATCGTGCATTCAGCTGCAACAACAGTTCGGAGGAGTACTGTAGACGGTTTGTGAAAGCTTCCCGGACTTGCGCGAGATATAGAAGCTTGCTTCAGCCATCTCCGGCCCAGGTCCTGTGACATCGGGATAAATAGTGAGTCAAACCCGGACCTAACGAGAGCTCGGGACGAGAATTAGCGCCCGGAGGACTGCAGTCACGACTTGTGCGTGAACGAAGCCTTTAAAGGGACACATCAGGAAAGACCGCTCCGCCAAAGTGCCTCTGTTGTTGGATCAGCTCTTGGACGGGGAAGATGATGGGAGATAGGGGGGACAAGATACTGGCCTCCAGGAAGTCGAGTCGAATATCGACGAACGGCGTTTCCAGCCTGGAGATGGCTGAGATTCCCTTGAGAGCCTTTTCGAATTGCACGGTTTGGTTATGGTGTTGATGAATGGTTTCAGTTTGCTGATGGGGGAGGATGAGTCGGGAGATGCTGCCAAGCCTGCCTTTCCAATCGCAGAGCCCAAAAACACTTTTTCCGCCAACCCCAATCATCCAACAACCCAGCCGGCTTAACTCAGTGGTAGAGTGCGTCACTCGTAATGACGAAGTCGCTTGTTCGATCCAGGCAGTCGGCAAAGTTAAATTTATATTTTTGCTTTTGCCCTTTCCTTCCCCTGTTCATTTGGGAACAGCAATGATCTTGCTTCTTGGAGAGCTCAAATAGGTAGAGGGTGATAAACAAGACAACAGCCGGCTTAACTCAGTGGTAGAGTGCGTCACTCGTATTCCAACCATCCATCTGATTCACAGATGATGTTTGAGACTCAAAATGACGAAGTCGCTTGTTCGATCCAGGCAGTCGGCAGAAGAAGTATTCTTTTTGTTCTCTCCTCTGAGGAGAGTCGGTCTTGATTCCCCCCTGCTTGCTGCTTGCTGGTCTGGTCTGGTCTGTCTTGAAATCGATGGAATTGGCCCGCAAGGGAGACATTGTTGGATGACAGGAGAAAGGCTCTTATTTGGAGGCCTGACGGGGTTGTCCAATGGTGGTGTGTCATAGAAGAAGAGGCGATGAAGCTGGACCGTTGGTTGTGCTCCTCCGAGAATCGACGATGATGCTGGGCATCGGTATTCAAAGGTGCACAAGTCATGCGAACAAGTGGCGCAACGGCCGCGTGGAGAACACGAATCGATCCCCGATCCAGCTTGGCGTTTGTCGCGATCTCTAGGGCTTTCATGTTTCCTGCCAATGGACAGATGTCGACGCTGGGAAGGGGGCGGGATGATCGCTAACTGGCCCTCTCTCAGCGCCTCTCGTCAACGGCATCCTCCGCTGGAAATGGCCGTCGTTGACATCATTTGCTGGCACCGGCTGGGGCAGTTTGACGGCTTGGCGTGGGGATAGGTTGGGGATGATGGACCATGGGAGCGATTCAAATTGTCACGAGCATCGTCTTTGTCTCGGATTCTTGAACGAGTTGACCTGATTCCCCTTTTTCTTGTCCTCCCGAATTCTTGATTCTTGACGACGACACAGTCAGGTTGCTCTGACAACTGAAGGTTCCGACGTGACCGCGTGGGATTTTCCAAGCTGTCGCTTGATTCAAATCAGTTTTCGAGTTCAAGGTGACGTCGCGCTGCCGAGGAGCTGACATTGCGAGTTGCGACTGCGCTGCGATTCTGCATCGTCACCTCACAATTCGACGACGACTTTGCTCATCTCGCACGTTGCCCTCACCGCATCGTCAACTTGACCGTCAACATCACCACCCCCCTCACTCTCACCACCGCACCAACACATCCCCAAGCCTCCCACCACCACCGCCACCATGACCACAGGCCTCATCCCCAACTGGTACCCCCCAACGCGGGAAAATTACGAAACCATCCTCTCCCTCTGGAAATGGTTCCCCGCCGTACGCCTCTCCCCCTCCCTTCCATCCCATCCCAAGCTAATCCCCCCCCAGGCCGCCTCCCTTCAATGGGCCGTATCCTGGTACGGCATGGGCAAGACCTCGTCGCCCTCGCGCCTCAACCTCCCCGGCCGCCTCGGCTGGCTCACCATGGAAGCGCCCGGCTTCCTCACGCTCCTCTACCACATGCGCACGCTCCCCTCGCAGATCCACCCCGCCCTCGTCTCCGCCTCCGGCCCCGGCCTCCCCTGGCAGAACAAGGTCCTCGCCGCCCTCTTCGTCATGCACTACACGTACCGCGCCATCCTCTTCCCTTTCCTGCAGCCGTCCATCGCGCCGCTGCACGTCCTCGTCTGGGCCATGGCGCTCGGCTTCCAGCTGCTCAACGGGCTGTGCCTCGGCGCGTGGCTGGCGGCGTACGGCCCGACGACGCAGGCGGAGTGGGCCGCGCAGGTCGGGACGGGGCAGTTCGCGGTGGGGATCGCCGTGTTTTATGTCGGGCTGGCGGCGAATTACTTTCACGATGATGAGTTGCGGGAGATTCGCCGGCGCAAGATGAGGAAGGGCGGGGCCGGGGAGGGGCACTATGAGATTCCGACGGCGGGGTTGTTTAAGGTGATGCTGTTTCCGCATTACTTTGTCGAGTGGGTCGAGTGGTTTGGGTTCTGGATGGCGGCAGGGTGGGGATGCGTGCCGGCGCGGTGCTTCTTGGTGAATGAGGTGGCGGCCATGTTGCCGAGGGCGGTGAATGGCAAGAAGTGGTATGTGCAGAAGTTTGGGGAGGAGAAGATTAGCAAGAAGTGGGCGGTTATTCCGGGGGTGTGGTAGGTGTTGGGAGGAAAGGGGCCGGTATTGCTTATTGCTGTTTGGGAGGTTTGGGGGTCATGGGAAGAGTTTGGGGTGGGTTGGTGAATGTAATGGAGGAGTATAATGGGCAATCAGCTTCATACCTATAGTCCTTGACTGTGCTCTATTATATGCCCTCTCCTGTCGGGGGGTTTTTTTTGCTCGATGTCGCCTCTGTTGTTCACCCCTTCTGCAGAGACTTAGGCTGAGAGCTAGAGGGGTTGAGTGGCCAAAGATGAGTGACGATGGACACGGCGGCTTGACCTCCTTCTACATCTTTAAGAACATGACCCACATGGAGGCATCATACCTTCAAACAGTGGGATAGATTTTTGCAGTGGTAGAGACTTTTGCGTATTGATACAGTTGCCATGTACAAAGAAGACATGATTATTCCACAACGCTGGTCCGAGGTATGTATTTTTTCTTGACAGAAGAAGCACAAGTCCCCAGTGCTCGAATCCCGACGCCGCTTTAATGCCAATTCCATTCTCGCCTGTTCGCTCATCTATCCTCCTCCCGGCCCGCCAGGACCCACCATCCTGGAAAACCATGCCCCGGCCACCTCACCTCCCCTTGCCCTTGTCCTCTCTTGCTGCCGCGCTCGGCGGGGGCGGCGGGGGCCGTGGGGTTGGTGAGCCGTTCCCGGGAAGTGGTGGCAGCGGAACCCCTGTCTCCTCGAGCGGCCGAGTTGGCTTAGGCACCATCATGGGGCCCGGGGGTACCGGGATGCGCCCCTCTAGCTTCTCTCCCCTCAACACCTTGTCCACCTCTGCCTTGTCGAGCGTCTCGTACTCGACGAGCGCCTTAGCAAGCAGATCCAGCTCCTTTCTCCTCGACAACAGCAGCTCGCGTACGCGATGGTACGACTCGTCCAGGACCCTCTTGACCTCCTCCTCGACCATGGAGCGAGTTTGCGTGCTCAGCGTGTTATATCTGCGCATGTACTCGACGGGGCCGAGCTTCTCCGACATGCCGAACTGGCCCACCATCTGCCAGGCGGTCCTGGTGGCCGAGTCGAGATCCCCGTAGACGCCGCTGGTGACCTTGTCGGTGCCGTAGGCAATCTCCTCGGCGGCCTTGCCGCCCATGGCCCGGTCGATCATGTCCAAAAAGTCCTTGAGCGTGCTCGAGTACTTGTCCATCTCCGGGAGAAAAGCCGTGTGGCCGAGCGAGTTGCCGCGGGGGAGGATCGTCACCTTGTAGAGCTCCGTCGAAGGATTGTGCGAGAAGAGAGCGACTAGAGCGTGACCGGCTTCGTGGTACGCCGTCATCTCCTTCTCCTTGGGCGAGATGACCATGCTCCTCTTCTCGGCACCCATGATGACCTTGTCCTTGGCCCACTCAAAATGCATCTGGCTGACGGCGCGCGCCTTCAGCTTGGCCGCGTGGGTAGCGGCGAGGTTGCAGAGGTTTTCGAGATCGGCGCCCGAGAGACCGGGGGTGCGCGCGGCGATGGCTTGGAGGTTGATGTCCGAGGCCGTCTTGATCTTTTGAGCGTGGTAGTCGAGAATGGCGATGCGGCCGCGGACATCGGGCAACGCGAGGGTGACGTGGCGGTCGAAGCGGCCTGGGCGAGTGAGCGCCTTATCTAGAGACTGAGGGAAGTTGGTCGCGCCCATGACGATGACAGCGCTAGTCTGATCGAAACCGTCCATCTCGGTCAAAAGCTGGTTCAGCGTCTGGCGGACATAGCTTGCGTCCTTGGAGTGACGACGCCCACCGATGGCGTCCAGCTCGTCGATGAAGATGATGGACGGAGACTTGGCCTTGGCCGCGGCAAACAGCTCGCGAACTCGCTTGGCTCCTACGCCGACATAGACCTCGTCAAACTCACTGCCAGATACGAAGAAGAAGGGGACGCCCGCCTCGCCAGCGACAGCGCGGGCCAGGAGCGTCTTGCCAGTTCCGGGGGGGCCAACGAGCAAGACACCCTTCGGCATCTTGCCACCAAGAGTGTTGTAGCGATCGGGGTGGCGCAAAAAGTCCACAATGTCCTGCACCTCCTCCTTGGCTTCGTCGCAGCCGTGCACGTTGGCGAAGCGGGCATTTTGGAGCTCAGGCTTGACTTCTTGGTAGCCTTCCTTGCCACCGAGGCCTGGTTTACGAATCGTGCTCAAGACCGTCTCGGAAATCATGGTGAGGATGACCATAGTCAAGTAGCCGGCGAGGGCGAACCAAAGGACGAACCTGAACCACCGCCAGAGGATGGTGGAGTAGCTTTCGTCAATAACCACGTGGATCTTGCCGTCGCTGGAGCTGGCTGGTGTACGTCCGTCATAACGCGCGGCGACAGGCTGACCAGCGACCTGAGCGGCCTGGTTAAGGCCGCCTTCGGGAAGGCCGCTAGGGCTACTCGGCGGGAGGGCAACATTGGGGGAGGAAGCAGGAGCACTGGCAGCTTTGTTAAGCATCGCAAGGGCCTTGTGGTAGGCCTCGGCAGTCGCCTGGTTACTCGCATAACGGCCTGGGGATGGTCAGCACTGGAGTCGTCAAAACGGGAGCGACTCGCTGACCAAGTTGGTGTCTCTCAATGACGATCGCAGGCATGTTGGCTTTCAAAAGGGCCTGATAAAAGGCATTCTGGGCCGTCGGGCTGGTGGGGTTCCGGTTTGCGACCGCCTCGCGACTGGCCAGGATGGTCCGCGAGATACCGCCGGTGCCAAAGAGGCGGAGCTGGAGATGGCGAAGGGGGAGCGCTGTAGAGTGGAATAGGGAGGTCTGCGGCCGACATGTGCCCATGAGGCGCATCGCGAACGGGGCGCCCAGCGGAGTAGTTGTCGTAGAGGAGAATGAGCGTCGGAGCAGGGGGTTCGCCATGGTGACGGAGCGTAAGGGCGTGACAGATGGCTGGGTGAAGATTGCGAGTGGAGATATGCTCCGGAAAGCATTCCGCCGGGGGACCAGAGGGAGCGACATTATGGTGGTGTTGACATGGGCATGCCTCGCGACGGCGGGGGCGGCGGGTGCCTGCGTTGAACTCGGCGACGCGGTAGAGGTATGCTTGGATCTTGCGGTCGGGACAGCGAGCGACTTGGAGGAGGCACGAACGAGAGCCGAGGCGGCGAGGGGAATCGAGGACAGGGCGCCCGAGAAGGGCGGCCACAGC